CCCCATCCTCCTGACACCCACCCTTCAGATATTTGTAGGCATTTATAAGGTCCCCTCGCAGCCTTCTCTTCTTCAGGCTGAACAAGCCCAGTTCCCTCAACCTCTCCTCGTAGTGGAGATGCTCCAGTCCCCTCACCATCCTTGTAGCCTCCGCTGAACAGGATGGGGGAACTCATCTGGGTAAGAATAAACTTTATTAAAATAATAGTTAAGCTTGTGTTTAGCTGGCCCAGCTCCCTCCTGCTTGCTTCACCCAGCAGTCACATGAATGCCTGTGTCAGCACGAACGAGGGTGACTGAAGAGTGGAAAGGGTGCTGTCGCTGGAAAGGACAGGACTGTCTGTTTCGGTGGCAACGCACATCTTGCTGGCTTACGTGAATGATACAGCAGGTCATGAATGAAAGCGAGACAGGCTATAAGGCTGGAGAAACTGGGGCTAATCATCGAGCAGCCAATAATACCAAAGAGTTTAACCATCTTGAAAGGGAAGAGGACACCAGTCACGTTCAGAAATGACCCAGATATCTGCTTTTCTTTTAATTTAGTCTACGTAGCAATAAGGGTCCTTGTGATTACCATGGTGTTGATCTGTAGAAAGAGTTCTTACAAGCTCTTTAATGCTGTTACACTCTGCAGTGGCATATATATTCCGCTACGATTTGAGAGGTTCAGTGTAATTTGTTTTCCTGCAAGGCAGCTCTGTCCCTGGAGTTGCTCAAAATTTGACCGGACAAATTTTGTACTGGCTTTGACAGGAGGTCAGACTAGAAACTTCCAGAAATTCTTCCTAGTCTAAATTATTCTGTGATTCTGCAAGGCCATGTAACTCAGTTTAGCCTTATGCAAGTAAGTTACCTACTGTACAACCAGTGTTATATTTCATAAGAAATTAATTAAATCCAAACTTCATCCAGGTATTCTGTGTAGAGATACTGGGGTCTTTCTGGACTCATTTGTCGTTTTTCCCTGTCAAAGCAAAGGGGTAAGCGAGCCAATTCCCTTTCTGTAGGATATGGAAGCTCCAGCTTTTCATATACCTTTTTTTACTGCCTTGGAAAAGCTGAACTTTCAGTTTAAGCAGAGGTTTCCATAACAACAAAAATATTTGGCACTTTGTCTCGTTAGAGGTTTGCTTACCATGAAAATTAAAACAATAATAAAGCATTATTTCTGATCATTTCCTAGTTACTGAATTCTGGTTGATACTGAAAATATATCTGAACGAGGGTGGCCTCTGTGTGTGTGTGCATTTGGGATGCAGCCATTCAGTGAAGTTCTGTCTGTGGTGGTGCTTATCTAGATACATATGAATATGGTTAATTTGAAGCAGCCTGGAAGAAGCAGGGTGAAAAGGAGTTCTGTGTTTCAGGACTACAGTTAGTACCTTGGGGAACAAGAAAGACTGGATGATGCCCAGTAACATTGTTAAGAAAAATGTTAACCCACCAGATTTTCCTTGTTTCTTACATAGCAACCAGAGATAAACACAAACAAATAGACTGGAGTAGGAGTAACTTGCCTTTTGTAAGCTCTGTTGACTACAGCCTTCTTTAGCTTGAACACAGAAACCCTTTGTAATTGATCCAGGATGTTGCAAGCATAAAATGGAAATCATCCTCTTCCCACTTTTGTCTTAACTGTTCATTCACTTGAGGAAGTAAGAAGCAATATGCATGTCCCCTTTAATCCTTGTTTTTGAGCCTTATTCAGGCTTGCGTGTTGGTTTTGGCTTCAGTTTCCCGTGTTTGTCTGTGGCTGAGTCTTCGGCTATGCCCAGGTTAAAGGATTCTTGTTCAGGTTAAAGGATTCTTCTGTGCTTGTAAAATCCTTCTCAGCACATGCACAAAGTAAAGGCCCTAGTTTTGCACACTTGAGTGGTTCAGATGTCACAAAAAATGCAGAACAGTTGGATGTGTACAGCCTTTGCCTCCGTTACTGCACCCAGAGCAGAGTGTGCAAGTAACAGGTTTTTCTGTAGGCAGTTGCATAGCAGTCCAAAGAAATATAAACTAAACCAAACCCGATGCTTTAATGCGTAACTGCGTCCATAGCAGGGAGCAGGCTTTCATTGTCAGGCCAGCTGGGATGTGATTTTTTTCACGTTCCTAAAGCTTTGAACTTGCTTTGGACACTGATTCAGGTTCATGAGGTTGATTTTAAATAATCAACATGGATTTTACTCAGCTTCCCTCACATTTTCAGCATTGCTTCTCCCTTCCAATGTCTGGTTAAGATGCACCTAGTCTTCACTCTCAACCTCAACACCTGCAACAGACCCACTTTCCCTAGGACAAGGACTACTTTTTCCTGTCCAGTTCTGCCTCCCCTCCAGCCAGACAACATTTCGTGCGCTGGCTGTCACTGAGGTGTATGAAGAGCAGCCCCATTAGGCAAGGGAGCTGGTTTCATCCTGGAGTTGTAACCGTGAATCTTGGGGCGGACACAGTTGGCATTCAGCCTCTAGAGAAGGTCTGAGCATGACCAGGGTTTGCAGTGAACTTGGGCGGTCTGTCGGTTTAGCAGTCTGTGTTCAGCAAGAGTTAGAGCTGAATCCTGACAACCCCACTGGAAAGGGTCGATTTGTCTCGCTGTCACAGCTGAAGGACACTGGCTGTCCTGCCAGCAGCTGTGGGAGCAGAGGGAGGCTGGGACTCTGCGCTGTGATTATAGCTTTTTGTCACTCTGGGAGAACATTGTATCTACTACTGATCAAGTCTTCTTCCATTTAGTCAGCTCTAATGGTTTGCTTTCTTTTATGTGGCTGCTTTGGTTATACATAATTTATAGAAGGCTGACACGAACAAAATGGATTTTAAGAAGCTCTTTCATTCCCTGCTTGGAAAGAGTTGTTTGTGATACTCTCAAGATGTATCATTTATTAATCTCCTTTGAAATACCAGTCCTGCAGCCCTGCTTGTACGCTGTGGACAGTGAGTCCTGATGGTTTTCAGTTACTGTGCATAGTCCTACAAGGCTGTCTCCTTCTGCAGCTCGTTTCAGCCATGGTGTGTTTTCCTCTGGAAAGACCTACTTCTCCCTGCCCGTATGCTTACCGTGACACGAGATGGTGTCTGAGCTCCTTCGTTTGTGACTCAGGCGCATGCGTCTTGAACGTAAACGTTCAGAATTTGGTTCCCAAGGAGATCCGAGGAAACTTTAATGTACGCTTGGTGTTCAGTCGATACTGAGCAATGATCTGACTTGAGTTACAAGCTCTGAAACACATGTGGTCAATCTCTGCAGATTATTAATCCTGCACTGGGATAAGCCCTGCCTATAATGGCCCCAAACAGCATAATTCTCGAGTCAGAAAGTTCTAATGTTTGGGATTGCTAAACCAAATCCCTTCAAATTTCATGTTACCACCTATAAAACAGCTGCAAATTCCTTCCCACCTATTTTTTTAATTTACAAGACCAATTAAACTCAGAGCATGTTACAAAAGGCTGAAGTCTTTCCAGTTTGGCAGCTCTCTTATCTAGCAGTTACATGAGTACTGAGACTCTAGATGTTGATGCCAAGATGTTGAAAAGCAGCTAGTAGTTTTGGAAGTATCTCTTTTGGTGTGTAAAGAAGGCTGGCCAAAGCTGATCAGACCAGTGAGCGCGCTGGCTCTGGCACTGGCTGGTTGTGGATGCCGAGAAAGAGGGCAGGAGCTGTAGTCCCCAGTACCCTCTCCCAGCACTTGGCAATATGTGTTCGGGGCTGCTGGAGCACAGACCTTCAAACGACTTTGTATTTACTGGTTCCTCACACAAGCTTTGCTCATTTCTTCTTGAATCCGTGTAACATTTAGCCCCTGCAGCATCCTCTGGCAGTGAGTGCTACAGCTCAGTTCCATGCTGTGTCAAAAATTTAGCCTTTCTTCTGTTTTCTTTAAAACGACCAGCTGATTTTTTTCGTTTGATGCTCCCTAAATGTTGTGTTGGAGAGATGGTACACAATTATTCCCCATCTGCTTTCTCCATTTGTATCTGCCCTGAGTGTTGCCTCTGCTGGCTGAAGAGCCATGGCCCGTTAGCTGTTTCTTGCACAGAAACTGCTCCGTACCTTTCCTTGGGCCTGTCGCTCTGCTCTGTACCTTCTTCCAGTTCTTCTGTGGAGGGAAGATGCTGGAACACTACAGAGGATCCAGTGTCCAGGGTGCCGATGAATTCATTCCATAAGATGAAACTATTTTCAGCTTTCTTTTTTTATGCCTTTGCTTTGCATTCCTATCAGCTGAAATGCTCTCTTGGCTGCCACTGAATGTGCAGCCCCATGAATTCTTGTCTAGTTCAGAGACTTCATGTGTGAAGTTCACATTGCTTTTCCCACATGCATCACTTGGCATCTTTACATCTAGCAATATTGATTTTTGTGTGCCATTTTATCACCCCATAATTCAATATGGGAAGAATCTTCTGCAGCGCTTTGCGGTTGGCTTTCATTTTGATTGCCTTACATAAGGGAGTATCATCCCCAGACTTCACCTCGCTGTTCTGCTCTTCTGTCGATTGTTTATCAGCCTGCGGAAGCGCAGAGGCCCTGGGTCTCTCAGGAACCCGTTTGTGGGACATCCAACTTTGACTTCATTTTCTCAAATTTGCTGATCAGGCTGTTCAGACAAAGAGGTCTTCATGAGCTTGTTCAAGCTTTTGTGAAAGCTGATGCCTATCGCATTTGAAATCCCCCCGTGTTTGCCGCCTAGAAGTTGCCTCAAAATGTGTGCATGTCTTTGTAACCACTGCACACTGAAATGTTTAAGAGGAAGTTGTCTTGCTAATTCTACGAGTTTAAGAGCACCTGAAAAGTAGTGTCAAGGTTCTACTGAGCACAGTGTGTCCTTTTTGACAACGAGCTTCATACCCTGCATCACTTGGTACTCTGACCATCTTACCTGTGTCCTTTGGAGGGAGAACTGGGAGCCCTTTGCTGTAATGCAGACACTTGGATTTAGGAGGTTTATTCGTTGAATCTTCTTGTATGTTTATGAAAGCACGCAATTTTAAAGTTCAGGATGGCATTATTTTGGGTTCCTCTACACCTGAGGCAAATGAGCAGTCTATCGCGTTCTGTTTAAAAAAGAGCACTGTTATTAGCCAGAGAGGATTCACACAAGAAACAGAAAATATTTTGATGTTTTTGCTGTATGTTGAATGCTTTCATTTTCCTTACCTTCGTTTTGAATTTAAAAGAAGTTTTTTACATTCACTGCTTTTGAATGTGGTCCCAAGAAATCATTAAGCCAGTCTTTGTAAGTATGCTCTGATTTAATTTTGACTCGCATGAAATATGGCTGGACTAAATGAATCAGGGGCTACTAATTGTCTCTCTCTTGGTTTTCCATCTTCTTAAGCAGCAGAATCCTGCTGAGTTTCAGCTGTGCTAGCTGTAAAGACAGAAAATGTCTGGCATGTGGCTGAGGAAGGAGGAAAAAGATGTCTCTGGTAGTGAAAATGCCTCTTCTCCACTCTATGTTCATATTGGTCTGAAAAAGTTAATTCTTTTTTTTAATTATTATTGTTTTTCAGGAAGCAGACTTTTTTCCAAGTAACCCTGGCTATACAGACCCTGCTATTCAAGTAGAGGAATTCTCAACTGTAACTTCAGGAAAGGGGTGAGTAAAGTCACAGATAGGAGTCTCTCAGCAGCGTGTGTGGTGAATGGGAAATTGTCACCAGAGTCACTGATGAACCTTAAGACAAAAGTATTTAGGAGCGTAGGGAGCACCAACGTTTTGACCAAGGCATGGTGAAACCTTTGAGTTTCAGGAGAGTAAATACCTGCAGGAGTACTTGACTCCCCTCCCCTCAGAAAATATCTTTCCTAGAATACTCTGTTTAGGCTGTTTTATTTTAAAGCTGCCTGACTTCTCCTGTAATTCCTGTATTGAGCTCAATATAGTTATATGATTTCATGTTGTGGAAGGATGAATCACAACAACAAAGTTTATAACACAGGCAAGCACTCATGGGAAAACACCACCCTTGTCTCTTAATTAATCCTTGCCTGTTAACTCATGTCTCTGGGGGGAGGGAGAGGAAGCCCTTTGCGTTCTGCACAGTTGCACGGGAGAAGTTACCCTGCCATTTTGCTGGGAATGCTGTGCAAGGCGAGGGATGCTGCGCTCAGGCTGATGTGTGTGTGCAAGCAAAGCAGGCATCAGAGTTGAGTCGTGTCTGAGGGAATCATCTTGTGTATCTGCCGTGTGGTTTAGCTTTTCAAAGCTGTATCTGCCGTGTGTTTCAGCTTTTCGAAGCTCTATGTCCGCAGTGGCGAAGCTGACCCTGAGCAGAACTCCTCCCCTGACCTCCCATCTCTTCACTTTGCGGTCCCTCCTCAGGTAAGCAGGAGGCTTGCTGCATGCCGTAACCCGCAGGGCTGGCGATTCACCCACTTGCGTGGGTACAGGCTTGCTCTGGCGCGGGCCGGAGTTACTTCCTTCGTGCACATGCTCTTCCCATCCTCAGCCTGTGTCTGCAGGTTGGCTGTGCCCTGCGGTCTCTGCGTCCAAGCGATACTCCCCTGTCTCAGCTCACACAGGTGATCGGATATATTCTGCAGTTCCCTCGCAGACTTGCAGCTCAGCTGTAACACAGCTGTAATGCCGTGTCTTGCTGCTCCGGTGCAGTTCGGTGACTATCTGTACTACTTTGTTGATGCTCTGCGTGTTTCTGTGGAGCAAAATCTGACAGCTTGTACATTCAGATATGGATGTTAAAGGATGTGCCCAGGGAAAGGTGGTGTGTGTGGATATGAAGGTGGGGTGTATGAAACAGCTGTCCAAAGTCAAGTTTTCTGCATTCTTCATATTCGCATATCTACATCCAGATGCCCTCCCTGCTTGCTGAAATGACAGGTGGTGGTGCTCTCCCCCTTTTCTCCAAGCTTATTAATCGAAGTCTGGTCGTCTAGATGATAAGAAAAATTCCTTTTCAACCGCACTTGTATTTCGGAGGAGAGCTATCTCCTTCTTGCCATGTCCTGTGCTGTGTGACTTTTGGTCCCCTCGTCTAGTTTGGTCCTACGGATGCATTTGCCCACTGGTGTCTCATACATCCTCCAGCTGTATGAGATAACAGCTTAAAGGCACCTACACACAGAGAATTACCGTATGCAGATAATGTCTGTGTTCGTTGAATACCTACTCTCTAGCATTGCTTTTTAGTAACTCCAACTATAAAATATTCTTGGACTTTGGTCATATCTAATGCTCAATATTAAAAACAGGAGGAATTAAAAAGAGGTAGCAATTTAAAAACCTGTCTGTCTCATTACTTTGGGCTGATGAAGTGACTTCCCTTCTCTTGCGCCACTTGCTTTCACAGCAACAGAAAAAAAGAAGAAAGAAGATGCATAAAACCTCTTCCTCAGCAATGGACAGCAGATCTAAAACACATGCTAGACCTTGGCCCTCTTTCCCAGATCTCCAGTCAGGTGAGAGCACACCAGTCAGCTTCTCTGCTTCTGGACTGGATTTCTGGTTGCTGGCATGCAGAAATGAAGTGTGCTGTGAAAACCCAGTGCTGGCAGAAGGTTAACTTGCTTAAGAAGGGAAAGTGAGTGTTTCTGAGTGCTTGGAGATACTCTAGAATTATCAGACTTGGGTGCGCTGCTGAGTGTAGGATGTTGTACATTTTCATATCTAATTTTGCATAAATGTAGGTATGGTTTTCTTTAACACTAGTGGATCAGCCGTATCATTCCTGGGCTTGTTGATGTCTTTATGGGCGTGAGGGATCCCTCTCTCTCGCTCTCTCTCTCTCCTTAAGCTTTCTTCTCCCTTTCTCTCCATCTGCAGAGTTGCCAGCCATGGCTGCTGCCACCTCGTCTCCCCACAGCCTTCGTTTCTTGGTGCCAGCGTTTCCTCTGAGAGCTGCTGTGCCCCTCAGCAGCATCGGCCTCGTCCAGGCGGCGGGACCCCCAGCTGACTGTCGCTCTGAGTCCGCCGAGTCCACGGACGAAATTCCTGTGGCTCAGACTCACCTTGGGAGCACAGCCCTTCATAGGCCTCCTAAGAATAACTCAAACAACAATCAACACTATCCCTTGTCCAGAGACAATCCCAGAGGCGACAGGCAGAAGAGTCTGTATTGTGGGCACAAGGTAAAAAGGAAAAGCTGCCAGCAAGACAGAGCCGTGGAACGAAACCTGGAACTTTTTTCTAAGGTTCCTGCTGTGTTTGTCAGTAAGACCAGTGGAGAACCTCATGTCTCTCAGCCCCAGCCCAGTGCGAGCACATCTGAGCCACACCACAGAAAATGCACCAGCAAGCAGCACGAGGGCAGACATGATCCGTGCTTTAAGGACGTAAGGACAGACACCACAGCGGCCTAGTGTCAGCTTTCCAAAGCCATAGCCTTTGGGGACAAGGTGAGAGGTTCTATCTGAGTGTTGCTGTTCAAAGATCATGACTCCAGTGGCTCATCTTTTGCCTGGAGGTAGCGGCGTCCCTTTGCCTGATGCTGTCCATCTCCCAGCAGAACTAGCTGAGCGGCAGTAAAAACCCCGCTGCATCGCTGTTGCTGGCTGCTGCCTCTTCCTAAGCCAGGAGTGCCCCTGAGCCCCGTTCCGCTCTCCTTGGCAAGGGGAAATGGTCTCCCCTGATAGGGATGTGCCCAGGGCTGCTGCTGGTGAGGGACTGCAGCGTTAGTACTCCGTAGAGTGCTGAGGGGCTTGTCCACACGCTGTGTGCTTGCCATCAGACCGCAGCAAGACGTTTCTGGTCTTGGATAGGTGGCAACCCTGAGGCAGGCGCGTTGCTAGAGAGAACTCGAGTGCGTTCGGTAGGCGAGGGCCGTACCCTCCTGGCCCTCCGCACGCTGCTGCTGCAGTGGCTCTCTGGGAGAGTGTGCGGGGAAGAACAAGGCTACATCTCTGCTGTTCCCCGCACCCGGAAAACTGAATTCCCCATCTGCCTACACCCTGTCAGTCGTTGGCTCATGCGCAGGGACTTCGGCAGGTGGTCAGGGATTGCCCTTAGGATTGCCCTGTGCCTATGCCACTTTCCACTCTGTGCCCTCAAGCCGGGTTCACCAGTATGTGCTCTGTAAGGCAGTGTAGTTCGACCTGCTTCACCTTCCCAGCAGCCTGGGGTGCCCTGCAGGGCAGCTTTCACATCAGAAACTCTGGGACGCAGCAGGACCTGAAACCCTTCCATTCCCTGGGCTGCCAGATACACGTTAGTCCACAGCCAGGCCTGGAGTCTCTGTAGCGCGGAGAAATCCCGCAGTACGTAGCCAGTGCCTCGAGTCACAGCACCCTGTGCTGGTGGTGAGAAGCAGAGAGCTGTCTGTACGCTGCGCTGCAGCACCTCGGCTTTCCCTGCCCTCCTGCCTTCCTCCGGCATCATGCCCCATTCCCAGTTCCTGGCTGGTGCTGCCAGCA